ATAATAATAATAATAATAATAATAATAATAATAATAATAATAATAATTAATAATAATAATAATTAATGTAACATATACCAATCGTACCAATTTTGAATAACTTACACTGTGCACCAGACTACAAAACACCACACAGACATAGAAACAAGTTAGGTATGAATTAAAAAAAGGAAATGTGGCTAACTCCAGTATTTACTATATCTTTTTGTAGCTTTCTACCTTTGTAAACCATTTTTGGTTCTGCCACATCTTACTACTACCTTGTGCCTTTTAATATACTCACATCTTCCTTTTTGAGGATCCCAGCTCAATTCAACAGGACTTTCTCACTGTTCCATTTTCTATCAGGCACTCACTATTCACATGTTTGTTTTATAATTCAGACCTCATTTGTTGTACCAAAGGTGCTTTTTCAAGAGGCAACTGGACTTTCTGTTTTTTTTGAGAAGTGAAATGTCTTCAAAGAAAAACCCAAAAGTCCCCTTGCTTCTTAGAAAAGCACCTTTGGGACAACCATAACCTGAATGACTGAGAATCTCCATAGACATTCCTCATTTATTCTTATTCTATAGACATTCCTCATCCATGATGGTGAACCTATGGCACATGTGCCATAGGTGGCACACAGCGCCATTTGTGCCAGTACACAAGCCGCAGGCAAAACTTACCTCGCTGCGCATGTACGTGCCTCACAACTGATTTTTGGCTGGTTTGAGGCCTTTTTCGGCCTCCCAGAGGCTTGAAAAAAGCCTCTGCGGGCTTTGCAACCTGAATAATAGGCCCGTTTCATCACTTCCTGTAAAGCAACAAAACGGGCCTATTATTCGTCCTGCAGACGCTTTTTTCAAGCCCCTGGGGAGGCCGAAACAGACCTCAAACTGGCTGAAAATCAGCTGTGAAGTGCAGTGCAGGTAAGGGTGCATGGGGGGCGGTGGGGGGGATTGCATGTGCATGCACAGGGTGCATGGGCAGGCGCACTGCCTTCTGGGTGCTGGGGCGCGAGTGCCAGTGTGCACACAATTTTTGGCACAGGAGCCCAAAAAGGTTAGCCAACACTGTTCTATATGTTCAAGACACATCAATGTATGAATTTCTCTTGAACTTTTTTCTCTTAAATACTAATATAATATTGTTATTTATTCTACTCTTCTACTGTCATTTCCATACAGGAAGTCTTTGACTTGTGATCAAAACTGAGCGTAAATTTCTGTTGTTATGTGAGACATTTGTTAAATGAGTTTTGCCTCATTTTACAAGCTTTCTTGCCACAATTGTTAACTGAATCACTACAGTTGATAAGTTAGTATCCCAGTTGTTAAGTGAATTGGCTTCTCCATTGACTTTACTTGTCAAAAGATAGCAAAAGGTGGTCAGGTGGCCTTGGAACATAGCAATGGTCTTAAATATGAACCAGTTGCCAAGCACTTGAATTTGGACCAGATGATCATGATGATGCTGCAAAGGTCATAAAAACAATCATAAGTCACATTTTTCAGGGCCATTGTAACTGTGGTCATGAACTAATTATAAACCCATGTTGCAAATTTTATATATGCTGTCAATATAATTTTTCGCTGTGATATTATATTTTGTTTTAAGATAGAAGGAAATAATGATAAATTTTATTTTTAAAAAATACTTTAAAAAATTACTCTCCTCACTTTCTCTATTTAGACCTGAATGTTATTAGTTGGTAACAAAGGAAAATGACCCAAAGTCTATCCTTCATAAATGTAGATTTGTCTTTTTTTTATTTAAAAAAATATTTAAGATATAACTACCCTGAGAAAACGAGAATAGTGCAAACTATAGATAACAAAATGGATTATTCCTTTTTTAAAAGTTACTAACAGGAAACGAGAGATCAATATTGCTTCAGTCAATTTAGTATGTCAGACATAATTTCAGTATACCCATTGATCATGCGCATACACAGACAAATATTCCAATTGCTGAAAACTAACTTTGGAAAATCTTTTCAAAAATGAAGATATCAAATCAATTCTTTTGATGACTTAATCTCTGTTTCTGTCTCTTAGGCATTTGTGAAAATGGCTGGCCATCATGTTTCTTTCCTAGAAGAACAAATTCTCCAAGCAGAGAAGACCCATGCTGATTGTCCTTCCTCTATTCAAAAGCTGCTTGGGTCACTAGTTTTCCCTTTATTTAAAAAAGTAAGTATGAAAAATTTTCAGACATGGGAAAAAGCCGCTTTGAACAATACTTCCTCTGCCATTTTTCTAAAAAGGATTCCTTTTCAGCTATAGACAATTATTTTCTTTTGGAGGAGGGGCATTTCACAGATTATTGAAAACTTCAGAATTTCTGGGCCTCAAAATACCCTACCGCAAAAACCTCTGACAGTTTCTTTGAGCAAGTTCAGTTCAGTTTCATATGCAGTACAGAGAAAGCTGATCTATTCTGTAAATCACCATTCCGATTTAAGTTCACAGCAGTTCCTGGATGAGGTTCTTGGATTATCCTGCTCGTTTTCAACATGGAAAACAAAATTGTTTGAAAGGCATAAGTAAACACACTCTATGAATTTGGGTATTTATTTGTTGGATGTATATCCTGACCTTCTTCTGGGAGCATTAGGTAGCATAAATATTGTAGTGCTCCTTCATTTATTTCATCAAAACAAGGCTATGGTCTGTGAACAACTGGCTGGCTCTCCTAGAGAACCTTCATAATTTATGGTGAATCCCAGTCCTAATTCAGTACTTTTTCCATTACACTATATTGGTATTCAGTTCATCCTATTTTGTATCCTATCCTATTTGACTGGGCAAATATTTCATTGAGCAAGGAGACAGGCAGTGACAAGGGAACCCTGTGTATTGTTCATTCTTTAAATTATTTGAATTCTATCTTTTAGATAAAGTCTTCAAATGAGAAAAAAGCATTAAAAACTTAATAGGTTATTCCAAACTTGGCAACTTTCAGACTTGTGGACACAAGCTAGGCTAGCTAGAGAATTCTGGGAGTTGAAGTCCACAAGTCTTAAAGTTGTCAAGTTTGGGGACCCCTGGATTACTCAAGTGTCCAAAAATCTGTCAAATAAACAAGGCAGTGGACAAAGATCAAAATATTAATATTAGATGGACTGGAGAACAGGATATATCAGTGGTTCTCAACCTGTGGTCTGTGGACCAGTGGGAGGGAGGATGCAACATCATCACAGGAAGTCCACGAAGACTTGAAGAAATGTCATGATTTAAATCTCAAGCCTGGGGGTCCGTGGCCATGGTCTGTGGCCACAAAAGGAGGTCTATGGTGAAGGAAAAAGGTTGAGAACCTTTGGGATATATGCTTTTCTGGCTCCTAAAAGAAAGGAAATGCATGAGGTGAATGTATCTAGAGGTTAGTCCCATGTTTGGGATGCCTTACAGAAGAGACTCTCTCTCTGGAAGGCATCTGTTTTGTGTCTGAAAGTAAAGCATTCTGGGAAGAATCTCCTTAGATTTTGCCTATCAGGCAGATTTGTATGGAGAAGGTGATCCTGCAATTCAAACTGTTTAGCGTTTTAAAATTCAAAACCAACCCTTTGGCTTGTTAATCAGAAATAAACCAACTACTAGTGGAATTCTTTCAGCATTGGATTAATATGTTCTCAACACTCTTTGTTGCATAATACTTTTTTTTAGAGAAAAATCTCAGATATAATGAATTACAATGATCTGCTGCTGGATTAGATCTCTGACTAGATAAATATCTGTTTAAATGCTTCTATAAGTACATTTGATTTGCTTGCCCTTTTAAAACAAACGGACCTTCTTGGTGTAGAAAAGCTTGAATATAGATCTCTGATAGAAATTATACATGAAAGGTATTTCCCCACAATTGTAGCAATTCTTAAAGACATGAATTTATGTTTTTTTTTCCTATTTGAATTTTAAAATATACTGTCTGACAAGTAAAATATTTCAGAAATAAAGCATTAGAAATTAAAACTTTCTGGAGTGCCATTCTTGTAATGTCACTGTTGATATATGAACATTTAAAAGGGTCTCATAGTTTTGGTTTTATTGCATGACTTATATTCAAACAACAATTTCATATACTTTGAGAATAATACCTTACAGTAGAAGTTGAAAATAAAGTTGCATCTAGAAAATTAAAATTAAAATTCTGTCCTAGGATACTGTAATGCAGGAGTGTCAAACATGCGGCCTGTGGCTAGGCCACAGAGTTAGCCTGTGGGCTATCCTGGAGAAGGTGAGGGACCAACCCCTGCTGCCCCAAGCCCGGCCACACCCACCCAGGCAGCTACGATGAGCAGGCCACACCCCCAGCCCCCCAAGGACAAACAAAATCCTGACATGGTCTGTGATAGGGTCGAGTTTGACACCCCTGTTGTAATGTAAAACTTACTTAACAATTGTCTTGCTTAGCAACATAAATTTTGGGCTTAGTTGTAGTTTGCAAGTTGAGGACTACCTGTATTTAGAAATCCTAAAATATTTTAACCTGACTGTTTTTGACTGTTTTTTCAATTGTATATTCCCACCAATTTTTTATTACTGGCTATTGATAATTTTTACCAATGTTCCAGTGAATCATTTTGGTAAATATACTGTGTTTCTGTTTTAATCATTTTGTGCAATCTTCCTGCACAAGCTCATGTATGATCAACTTTTGATTGATAATTATTATTTATTTAATAATTTATTTTCAATTATTTTATTATTATTGTCATCCTAATGTGGTTTAAATCAGTGTAAGAAAAAATATTCTGGGGAAAAATTTGGCAATGTGTGAGCTCCCTTCCTAAATATATTGGAACAGACTTGCATGGATTGTAACACTTTACTTCAGCCCTGTGTCCTGATCTGGTTTGTCAGCTGAGTTTTGCTTTCCTGCTTTCCCCTCTCCTTCAAGCAAGACTGTGTTTGGGCCTCTGTTAATCTCTTTCTTCATTTTTGTGGTTGAGCGATATAGCTACTTTAGGTCAAATTGGATTATTCATGCTTTTGGATACCATTTTTAAAGAAACAGGATTCTGTTAATTTTTTAAAATGTCACAGCATAACTATTTTTTTACTCTGGGGGAATTTTGAAGGGGTAAATATGTGAATGGGAAAGTCTGTGTGTGGGTACAAAGGAAGTAACAAAGTTACCGAAGAATGAAAACAAGATAAATGAACATGCAAAGATATTTAAAAAAAATATCTCTAAGTAAGTTTTTATCATATTGGTCTGTTCCTTGAGATGGAGTTTGAGATATGTTTTTAAAAAGTAATTACATCATTAAGAAAAGAAAGCAAGCAGTTTTTGGAATTATTTAAATTTTGATGTAGCTTTTTCCAGTGAGTTTACTCTCAAAATCTGCCTTGGGATATTGTAGACTTTAAGGGAAGCATTGGGGTGACTGTAACCCTGCATTTATGTTCTAAGAAGAACAGGACCTAAGAAGGACAGGACAACTTGTAGAGGAGAAAGGATCATTTTGATAAATGCAAAACCCTGGCAGGGTATAAAACAGAAGTCCCCAAACTTGGCAAATTTAAGACTTGTGGACTTCAACTCCCAGAATTCTCCAGCCAGCACAACATAGGGAGTTGAAGTCCACAAGTCTTAAAGTTGCCAAGTTTGGGGACCCCTGGTATAAAGGAATACCAGGCACGCTGATCAGCCAACAGAGTAGCAGCAATGATGGAGTTTGGAGGCCGTTGGGGGCCAGTTTTTTGAGGCTGAAGATAACAATAAATTTATTATTTTTGCAGATGGCTAGCCATACGTTGTGCAGATCTGATATAGAGGCACTAGAAAATATATAGTAGGCTGGGACTGTCTTTAACTCCATTTGTTACCCATTTCTGTAACTTTTTAAATTTTTATTTATATGCCGCCATCTTGCTTTCCAGTGCAACTCTGGAGGTTTACAATGCAATAAAAATATAAATACAAACACAATTTATAAATATTACAAATTTAAATTTTAACTTTAAATTATAAACTTTGAGTTGAATGCAGACTGAATACCAAGGGGCCCATGCTTTCTTGGCATTTTTCTTGCAGATGGTTCATTGCCAAACCAGGTAACATTGTCAGCACCAAAGTTGTTACCTAGTTCGGTAATGAAATGTCTGTAAGAAAACAACCAACTTCAAAGACCACCAAGGATTCCACAATTCAACCCTGAGCTATAATTATTCTCTTTTCTCAGTGAAAATCAAGGCCTCAAGAGGGATGGAGGTACCTTCTCTGTCAATGCACAACCATCTCCATGCTAAAGTGCCTTCATTAGTGTGCCAAGCCAACTGGCAGAGCCAGGTTTTAAGACTATTCTGGAAGGTCAGAAGATTGGGGGCAGATTTCACCTCTAGCAGCAAGCTTTTCCAAAGGGTGGGGGCTACAGCAGAAAATATTATTTTCCTAGATCCTTCCAGCTGAAATTCCTTGACTGACAGAGTCCTTTGCAGGTCCCTTCTTTCAGAACGAGTGAGGCAGGCCAATCCATTGGGCCAAGATGGGTCCTCAGATATTCTGGACGCATGCTATAAAGGACTTTGAAGGCGATAACTATAACCTTGAATTGGACCCTAAGACAGATTTTCAAGACTATGGCAAATGAGAAGAATTGCAAGAGTGGAAGGAAGTGAAGAATTACAAAGGTTTTCTTGCAGAGGGTGAAAACCTTCCTTGTTCATTTGTCTCCCTTCACCTCCTTCCACCTCCCTTTTAGCCACCTGGGAGTTTTTGTTAGGTTTTCATTGTTAAGTGAATTATTCTGATTTATGCTTCTAGAGCTAAGCCACAAATCTGGGTACATTTGTTTTGTTTTTCTTTTTTTGCAATAAAAAACCTCAGCTCAAAAAAAAAAAAGTATGAGAGAGGCCAGCCTGCAAACAAAAACTGTGGTTTCAGGTGACAACACGGTTTAATGTTAAAGGCATACAAAATGTGTATTTTGTCTGTTACAAAGGTCAAACTTTCTGGTATGTTTGAAGGAGGTTCATTGCGGAGTGTTTATGTAGGAATGCCTGTGCATTTGGCAAGGACTAAAGCAGACTAATCTGTCTGTTCCCACAACACACCAAGCACAGGATAGGTCTTTCCAAAAGCCAAAAGACCAAATAATGTTTGTTATTTTTGTCCTTCCTGGCAATTCTGCTTGAAAGGGCTTCTTGGAACAATGCCAGAGATGCTGAAGTAAGTTAGAAAACCAAAC